TCACTGTACCAAAAGGAAATGGTTGATGTTCAACCATTTCAAGAGGTAGCATATGATCAAGAGCCAATGATACTGAAGGAGGAAGTCCAAGGTGCGCTGAAGGAATTGAAGAACAAGGCACCAGGAATTGATGGAATAATAATTGAAATATTTCAAGAAAGTGAGGTGGCACAGGAGGCACTCACTTATCTATGCCAAGAAATTTGGAAGACAACTATCTGGCCGACTGATTGAAAGAGATCTGTATTTGTACGGGTGCGGAATGCGGAAATCATCGAACAGTATCTTTGATATCCCATGCGAGTAAAGTTTTACTAAAGGAAATACAGAAACGGCTGCAAGCACACATTGACAGAGAACTTCCAGAGATTCAAGCCAGATTCAGAAGAGGCCGTGGAATGAGAGATGTCATTGCTGATGTCTGATGGATCTTGACTGAAAGCAGAAAATACCAGAAATATGTTTACCTGTGCTTTATTGACTACACAAAGGCTTTCAATTGTGTGGATCATAACAAGATACGGACAACATTGCGAAGTATGAGTATTCCAGAACACTTAACTGTGCCCGAGGGGAATCAGTACATGCACCAAGAGGCATTTGTTTGAACAGAACATGGGAACACTGAATGGTTTAAAATTAAGAAGGTGTGTGACAAGGTTATATTCTTTCACCATACTTATTCAACCTGTATGCTGAGCAAATATTCTGAGAAGCTGGGTTATATGAAGAAAAACGTGGCATCAGGATCAGAGGAAGACTCATTAAACAACCTGGCGATATGCAGATGGTACAACTTTGCTGAAAGTGAAGAAGACTTAAAATCCTCACCACTGGACCAATAAACAACATTTTCATCAACGGAGAAAAGATTGAAATTGTCAAGGACTTAATTCTTCTTGGAAAAGAATCAGAACACATGAGGTCAAAATTATTTTCATGATACTAATACTTGAGTGTTACTTGGGTTTCCCCCCCTGTGTTGACATTTATACGGATGGTGCAAAAGCAACTGTGAATCCAGCTAGTAGTCACTGTTCTCGGATTCTCACCACCATGCACTTACACAAAAAACAGCCCGTGTCTCTCTTCAGGTAATCCTTGATTAAGCAGTAAAAATGAGTACTATTAACCCTTGACCGTTGAGTACAGGTTGCTTTAAATTCTGTGTGACAAATGCACACAGAAAGCCCTTTATGCTACACACTACAGCTGTCTCAGGAAAGAGCACATGTTGCATTTCTCATGGAGCCCCATTTTTGAAAGAATGTCTGACTGACCAAACTATGGTTATACAAACATGAAAATGAACAAAATGAGTCTATCTCTTTAAGAAAAATAACAGACAAAATGTGTACTCAATGTAAATTTTGAGCTTTCAAATAAAACTAAGAAATTTGGAAAACTTTCATCTGCAACCGTTAAGTCCGACAGCTTCTCAATACTTACAACGCTTTTTTGATGAGATCAGTGGCAATATGAGAAAGTGTGATTTGAAAATATGTGAGCATTTAAAAGATCTGCACAACTCAGTGACCTGGTATTTTCCATATGATGAAGGAATGATGTTACAAAATCATGCATGAAGAAAAGATCCCTTCAAAGTACAAAACGGACCATGAATTTTCATGTAACAACATAAAAAGTTCACTGATAAGGTTTCGTATGCTACATTGCAACTAACCTTAAAGAAACTATCAACTCAATATGGCCACTACAATTATCTGAAAAGGCTACGAAAATGCTCCTTGCCACAGCTCAGGAAAGCAGGGGACAATGGTAACACCACTGGAAGAATGTCATCGATGACACTGAACCATAAAAGCAGAAACTGTTGACTCTATGAATGTTCTGCTGGGCATGCTCAACAACAAAAATAAATGATACTTTCTTAAAAAATGTGTCACTAACCAGAGCAACAAATCTCAAAAATCTGATTATATATGCAGAAGTAAGAATCCAGACATTACAGAGAATTGCAAAAATGTAAAACAATGCCATCTTCCCAATAATTTTTTTGTTTTGTTTTTAGGGTTCTTTGTAGTCCAGCACATGAGCCCACAGTGGCACACCAGGACTCCTCTATGTTAACATGATTTGTAATCATTCTTATTAAAACAAGTACTACGTATTTTTTAATTTTCTATTTTAATTTCTAATACATTAAGTACCAATATATTCCACATAAGCAAAAGTTCTCTGAGATCAATTTTTAAGAAGATAAAAAGGAGTACAAAACAGTTGATTTCATACCACTGTTTGAAATCAATGGAAATATTTTTGCTACAGGATTTAATGTAGGATCTACCTAACTTTTTTGAAGCAAAGTATTTTTTAAAACTTTTTTTTGCAAATTGAGTGAAGCTCTGCAGAGCAGCTTTACAGTTAACAAACCGTACAATTGGTTCTATTTCAAAGTCTGCAATCCCCTCCATGGAACATCAGTCACTCCACTTTCTCCCTGTGGTGCTTGTTTCCATTCCACCTTCTTTCCAAACCCTTCTAAACTTTGTCCTTAGGTAAATGTTGCCCTATTGATCGTGAATGGCTAGCCATTCCAGGGTGTGCGTACCTCACTAGTGTTGTTGCCCCCACTATATGCCCATCTACTGCTTGGCTGAAAATTGAGCCACGAGGGTGAGCTCAGTTCCAGACCTGAAGGGTGACCGGGTATAATCTTGGACTTCCTTCTGTCTCTTTATGACCAGTAAGCCTGGTCTTCTTTATGATTTTGAATTTAGTTCCACATCTTCTTCCGTTCTCTCCAGGAATTTCTAATGTGACCACTTCCGTAACATTTGGTAGTGGTAGCCAGGCTCCATATAGTCATCTAGTTCTTCTGGGCTCAGAGTTGTGGGAACTGTTCACGTGTTCCATTAGTCCATTGGACTAATTGATTGAAACAAAGTTTTTCTGTTTGTTTTTTTTTTTTTTAAAGACAACCTGGGCTTTTACTGTATTTAAAATTAAGTGCATTTTACTATATTTTTAAAAGCCTAATTAAAGGAGGGAAATGTAGACCAGAATTTAAAATTCTCATGTGTTCTAAACTTTCTGGAGCCATGGAGGCTGGATGGTAAGGCCTGAAATTATTGCCCTGGGATCATTTTTAAACCTTAAAGTAAAACCATCCCCTAAAGTCTTCTTAAAACCAAATAATAATTTAACTTAATAGTAAATGCCTGTTGTGAGCACTACACTCTTTAAAAATCTATCTACAACGAACCTCTGAACACTCAGGGATACAGACCAAGTTGAAAAGTCACATGTAAATGTTGCCTCTTCTCAAACTTAACTAGTAATAGTCTACTGTTGACCAGAAGCTGACCAAAACATCAACAGTTGATGAACACCTATTTTGCATGTTATAGACGCTGTATCCTGATGTGGCACTATAGGACAAACACTGGACTGCTAACCACAAGGTCACTAGTTCAAACCCACCAGCTGCTCCTCAGAAATCCTGTACAGCCTCACCATGAGTTGCAACTCATTCAACAGCGCTTAACAACAACAGGTGTTATTATATTCTGCACCCAAACAAAAACTGCAGTTTCAGTACAAGATAAAAAAGGTATTTTGCCAAAAACTGCAAGGTTTTCATGACTACTGGTGTAGCTACAGCAACAGGTTCGTCAAGTTCCTTTTTCACTTTTTACCATGGCCTATATGCACTGGATGTATCATTCAACAGCTGCAGACCACACTCGACGGTACATAGCAAGTAATTCAACATTTGCTTGTCATGTCCGGATTCTTCTGTTTTTTAAGAGCACTTCCAGGTTCACTAAAGGACTTCATCTGGGTCCCAGGGTGATAGTTTAGGTTTACGGCACTGCACTAAACATGGTGAGAAAGTGGTGGGGAGAGTGAGAGCTGTTTACTGCAATATGCAACGTACTGGGGGAGGGACTGCGGACACGTAGTGCCTCAGCGTCTCATGGTGTTCATAAAGCCCACCGCGTACACATGGACCCGCACCCTGTACACGCCCCAGTGTTGTTTAAGGATCAAAGCGACCAAGAGAAGATGAGAAACTTAGGAAGGAGTGAGTTCATGTCAGTGGTGAAGGAACAACTCAGAGAAGTGAGCCAGGCCACCGAGTTCTGAGAGTGTAACCTCACTCAGTAGAACATGGAGAAACAGTTCAACTGGTGGGTGCTTTGCATGTATACTCTCAACAAGAACCAAGTAAAAACAATATAAAGTACAAAATAGTTCTAATAAAAATATGCTCATCTATTAAACAATCAATAAATAAGGAGGATTCAGATGCAAACCGTGCAGACCCGGTCAGGAGGCCAAGCCCCTGTGGGCCCAAGCGTTGTTGACCGTCCAAACCATAGGCTCTGAGGATCAGACTCTAGCTACCTAGTAGACATAGCAAACTGTCCCTCATCTGATTATTCAGTAATGCTTGTTAGTAATCTCATACATGAGCCCTGGATATCCACAGACAAATGTAAAAACCTTCCCTAAAAGCCGAGACTGTAAATTCCAAAAAGGCAAGTCCCCCCAAATCCAAAAAAAAAAAAGCTAAAGAGGCTAGAGAGAAACACTGTTAACTGATGATATATGGAGGGGATAATAATCAATGTAATGAAACAAGCTATATGAATGGTTGAATGTGAAGCTGATGATGTGCCCTGTAAACTTTCACTCAATGCAAAATAAAAACATTTAATTTAAAAAAAAAAAAAAAATGCTCATCTAGAGCTGAAAGTAAGGAGCTCTGGTAGTGTAGTGGTTACGAATCAGGCGGCGAACCGCAAGGTCAGCAGTTTGAAACTACCAGCTGTTCCGTGGGAGAAAAATGATGCTTTCTGCTCCCGTAAAGATTTACAGCCTCGGAAACCCTATACAGGGTTGCTATGAGTTGGAACCGACTCCACGGCACATCATCATCATCATCATCAGAGCTGAGAGTAAAGCAGCCAGCAGATATGAAGTGAGGGGAGGCACACAAGAACACCCAAACTTTCAGACAGTACCCATTTGACCTAGCCTCGATGGCTTGATAATCAGAACTCGACTAGAGGAAGATAAAAAGAAAACAATTTTTGATAAAGGAAACTAGGGTAAACTGCTACAATTTGATGAACTTGACCTATACTCATGGAGGTTGTTGTTGTTAGGTGCCACTGAGTCGGTTCCGACTCATAGCGAACTTATGCACAGCAGAACAGCTCATGGAGGTAGTCGTTCAAAATACCAACAGAGAGGAGGAGTCTTCACTATCCCCTCTGTACACAGGGTAGATAGGGACAGGTAACTTAGACATTGGCTACCTAAAATGAGGGAGTGATACAGGCACAAGGTGACTGGCTTACAAGGTTTCAAGAGGGAGTTTAGTTTAAGAGTGTGCGTGGTAAGACAGAGACCCCACTGAATAGTTTTCATCTTGTCTACATGGGTCTGGTGAAAAGAGATGGGGATAAGATTCTTATGATTCAATAGTGAGAAATTGTTATCATGGCTATTTGCGACTGTCACAATTGTAAAGGTAGAAGTTCTGTAATAAAAACGGGGCAATGGTTAATCTTACAGTTCAGAAGCAGAGGACCCTAGGACCATCAAGGGAGAAGAGTACAAGGAGAATGCGGGACCTTATCCAGAGAAGCAGCAACAGCAGAAATGGAGGCAGAGATGGGGACATGGAGAGAGGGAGCAGCTGAGGACTCTAGATTCATGGAAAGAGAGGGACTGAGAGCTGGCGGCCAGGAGGCAGACTTGCAGAATATGCCCTTTGGTGGTTTGAATTATTATATATGCCTGAGTGTTGTTGTTGTTGTTGTTGTTGTTTTTAAAAAAAGAGGTAAATGAATAGAGAGAAATACTGTTAACTGATGGTACATAGAAGGGATTATATAACCATTGTAATTAAACACAGTACATGATTTGTTGAACGTAAAGCTGATGATCTGCCCTGTAAACTTTCACTCAATTCACAATAAAAACTTAAAAAAAAAAAAGTATGCTAATCTGTTTCTAAATTTTGGTCAACACACTGATGCACTGTTTCATGATCATCTCTTGGCAAGCTGTGCTTTGTACCTGTCATCGTATCAGGCGCATCCGTGTTGCTGCCTCGCTGAATGAGTCTAGCTGCAAAGCTGTTTTCGTCGAAGGAAGTTCCGTTCACTACAGGGGTGTCTTCAAAGGGGTTGACAGAGTGGTCGGAAGACACAGTGATGTACTGCACTGCAAGCCACAGAGCTGTGCTGCCCTCGTGGTCTTTCAGCTCTAAATCTAATCTGAAAGAAGGAAACACTGTGAACAATATCATCTTATCCCGGCACCTTACTACCAACAAGCCTACTCTTTCTCTTCATCCGTTCTCAATGACACATTTTGCTTTTGTTTTTACTTATTCTGATGTATTAACACTAAACGATGTTTTAAAAGAACTATTTCCCACTCACAATCCCACCCTCAACGACTGCTTTTTCACTTCCCCACATCTCCCTACATACTGTTTACACTGCAGCAGCTGATTGAACACATATTCATTTCTGGCCGTGATGGACACGTGTAAAGGAGTCCTGCAGGATGAAAAAGGAGCACTGTCAATTCAGGGCAGACTCAGCCCCAGGAGACTCAGCAGCAGGTGGTCAGAATCCTTGTAAAATCACTGTCCACAAGAAACTGCACATTGCTGCAACAAGCATCCCTTTGTACTGAGGCAACCGACTGTCCAAACCCACGACCAAGTATCAAAGCATAAAAATGGATTAATCTCTATGTTATTATTTAGTAAGTGGCCCGAGAGACAGGAATTGATCAAAAGGAGATACATAAAACACTCTTCAATCCAACGCTGACTCCTTCTGAATGTGTCTTTAAAACAGCAGCAGTTTCTTTCACAAGTATGCCATTTTCCCTACCTGTTGTTATTGTTAAGTACCGTGGTGGAGTCGGCGCCGACTCATACTAACCCTGCACAGGGTTTCCAAGGCTATATATCTTTACGGGAGCAGAAGGCCTCATCTTTCTCCCGCGGAACCGCTGGTAGTTTCAAACTGCTGACCTTCAGGTTGGCAGCCCAATTCGTAACCACTACGCTACCAGAGCTCCTACCTATCCCCAATTAATTCTGAAAAAACTTTCTCTCTCATCATTCTGTTATACTCCAACACAGAGAAGCAATAAGCAAAAATGATCTTTCATGAGTGATTAAAATGGCCTCTGTCCACTCTCTGCTGCCGTTACTCAGCTCTCAGCTTTGATGAACAGCACAGGGACCCGGGTTGCCACAAGGACTGCAGGTGGGGAAAATCAAGCAGTCAACAGAGGCAGCAGGGGAAGGGGAGACGGAATTATTTGGGAACTAAGGTTAGTATCACACGACATTGAGAGTTCACAGAGCTGCATTTTATTTAAGTATTTTATTCATCACACAAATCCATTATCCTACTCTGACAACCAAATGTCACAAAACCTTTTCTGATTAACAACAAAACAACAACATGATGAAGAGTGGGGCCCACTTCCTGTTGATGATACAGGTAGTTTAATGTGCCTTCAAAACTTCCCATGCCGCTATCCCAAAGACAATTAGCATCTTTACACACATCTCTGTGATCAGTGGACGGCTGCGGACAAGTTCTTTCAGTATTACACTTGTCTTAGTTTCATTAGGGAGCCTTCAGAAAAAAAAGGGTCAATCAAAACATTAAGTTTCCAAAGAGATCAGCTGGGCCGGTAGACGCTCCAAGACTATGGCCTTTAGTTATCACTTGTCAGGTCTGGAAATAAACTCACCCCCGGTCCCAGCTCAATTTTCAGGCAAACAACAGACGGGTCTATAAGGGCACCAGGAGCCCTGCTGGCACTGTAGGATAAGCACTGGACTGTTAACCATCAGCAAGCAGTTTAAACTCACCAGTTGCTCTTTGGGAGAAAGACGAGGCTTTCTGCATCCATAAAGATTTGCAGCCTCGGAAACCCTATGTAGGGTTACTGTGAGTTGGAATTGACTGGATGGCAGTGGGTTTTATAGGATGAACTGTAACACTAGGGATGTAGACACACCTAGAATAATCAACCATTTGAGATAAAAAAGGCAGCATTTACCCAAGGACAGAGTTCTAATGAACTAGGAAATTAGGAGAAATGGTAACAGGAAACACAGGGAGGAAGTGAGGTAGGTGATGTTATATTGCAGGAAACACAATCAACGATGTGAAACAGCGTGTGTATGAACTGCTGAATGGAAAATGATCTGCTCTGTAAACCTCCCCCCAATTCACAATAAAGTTTAAAAATCACACAAAAAATGGAGGCAGAGAGATTAGCTCAGAAAGTTGTGTTGACGGCCAAAGGAGTCATCTTGATCGATGCTCTCAAAGGACACAGGACAGTCACGTGCGCCTATTATGAAGAAGTTTCTAAGAAAATGGAAAACTGCATTGGTGAGAAAAAGGCAAGGTCAAGGAAATTTTCCCCCATCACAACAATGGACCTGCTTACTCTCTGAGGGTAGCAAGGGCTGTCCTATGAGAATTTCATGGGGAAACCTTACCCCATTCACCTTACAGTCCTCAACTTGCCCCTTCAGACTACTTTTTTTTGCTCCTAAAAATCAAACATTGAAAAGGAACACAATTTGAATCCCTCAAAGATACCAAAACTGTTTTGACGTGGTGTAAATCAAAGAGTGCAGAATTCTTCAGGGAAGGGACAGAGAGATGGACACACCGCCTTGAGACATGTATAGGCCTAGATGGAAGAGATGTCAAGAAATGGTAGCTTCACATTTTGATATTTTTGTTTCATAAAGGTCACTATGATTTTGTAATAAGACTTTACTTACTCTGGTATAATGGAATGTTATTCAGCAATAAAATCATGTCGTTCCTGTGTGTCATTACCACTGGAGTGGTGGTAAGGGCACCATCTATCCGCTCCCCAGCTTACCTGCCCTGACTATCCTGTATGTTGGGGTTGGCACCAGCTTGCAGGAGGGCCTCAGCTATCTGCGCCATTTCAGACATCACCTCTGCCGAGTGTTTCTTTAAACTGTACAATGCCACAAGGTGCAACGGTGTCTCCTGGGCACCCAATGTAGCAGCATTGACAAGGGCCCCGTTCTTAATGAGGAAAGTGGCAGCAAAGATATCTCCTTGAAAAGAAAGAATGGAAGAAATGGTCATAGATAGCAACCCCCAGGGTAAGCTAGTCTGGCCAAAGCTTCCTCAAAAAGGCACCATCGGCAACGTAAAGAGAAGGGACAATGGATATGTATGAAGGGTTCTCTGTAAGCAGAAACTCCCTGTTGGGATCATAGACATATACATTCTTAATTTAAAGGCTTTGTTCAATTTCTGTTAGCATCTGTCCTACCTCCTCATCTCAGCATCACAGTGTAAGACTAGCAGGTTTCTACCCTTCAAAGGCCACCTCAGCCCATCTTCTCTCAGAAAGAGCTTCCAAGAGCCACAGCCCACCCTGAGCCCTCAGCACAATTCCTCTCCCTCTCTCTTTTCCTGGCCACAGTCTGTATCTAAGCAACATTTACACACAATCTACTTAGATTCAGGCCTGTTCAGAGTTGAAGCTGCAGAGTAAGACCATGTCAGACTTATTTATTAGTAGCAGTTTTTTTTTTTTTTCCAATTTTGCAGTCTCATTATATACAAGCCTGACGATCTTAACAGGGAGTTTACAACTGAATGTCTGACGAGAAAATGTGTACACATTACTATGAACAAATTTCCAATGGTAAATTAACTAGTCATTTTTTAAAAAATGAAACTGTGCTTTGTAAAAGCCTCCCAAGGCCTCAACTCTTGCAGTATTAAGAGTTAGAAAGCCCCCCTAGGATTATTTACAAATTTCAAATTAAAACATAATAACTTAAATAAAATGCATTAATTTTAACACCAATTAACTACCCAGAGTCCTGTGTATGAGGGGGGAAATGAAACAACTACCTTGACATCATGACCAAAAGGGTAAGAATCTAAATATCTTAAAGACATGATTACTGATTCCAAAGATAGTCTGTCAGATACCATTAAAGAAAGCTGACTCCAGATAGGTTCCTGGAAAATAGTGTTAAATTCAGAACCAATTACTCTGAAAAATGCTAATTTAATGTTAAAAACACTTGTAAAAACCAGTTAAAATATACTTGTCAAGTTAACTTGGAGGTTAACAGGGAGTAAGCAACTCAGTTTGTTTCAAGTTTGCTTGAAATTCAGCCTTCCTTGGATTTGTTGATAGCTACTGTCGAGTACGCCATATGAACAACAGTAAGTGTACTGGTGTGGCACAACAGAATAAAGCACTGGAGTGCAAGACTGGTTTGAACCTCAAAGCCGGCGGTTCAAACCCACTAGTTGCTCCTCAGAAACCCTATACGGAGTCAGTACTGACATGACGGCACTTAACAGCAACAACATAAAAGTGCAAAACTACTCACTCTGCGCACAGTGTTTCTTAAGGAAAAAAGTCAAGGATGATAATGCTTCAGCAGACAATGAACTAGTTACCAGACAAACCAGCCAATTTTAAATGCACAATGCCTGTTTTTGCTGGCGTCTCTCCCTAGCTGAGTGGAAGCAGCTGCTTCTCTTTGTGGCCTCCAGGTGGCACCAGTCAGCTCACAGCCAGGAAGTCGTTCACCCATTCATTCCATTAACCATTCCATTAAACAATCTTCCAAGTCAACCTCATCCTCCACTTGAGAGCCTGTTGGTCCACCTTTGGCGGTGTGCCAGAACACACATCTAAGTTATCCCAAGAGCTTGCCTGAGATTTAGAGGTACTTTCTGCAGATTCAGGCTCCATGGTCAACAGGAAACATTTTTTTACAAATCACATCTTTTTTCCGCTGGCGATCCTAAATCTGCAGTTGCAATCTTCCAGTTGCTGACCATGCAACTGTCAACTACTGAAATTTCTTGAGGGTGTTGGGTGTTTCTAATTCTGTTAGGATCATAGATGTATCCTTTGGATCAGACAATTCTGGATGATGATTTTCTCTTTCCTCCAAAGTCACTTGTGAAACGTTTGCTTTTACCTCCTGCAATATCATTTCGTCTTCTTCAGCGCCGCTTCTTCAGTCTGAACATCTAGAATGGGGCTTAGGACCTACAGAAATGACAAAGATCTCCAAAGTCTATTATCTGACCCCAATCCACCAGCTGCTTCTTGGAAACCTTACATGGGATGTTGCTGTGAGTTAGAACCTACTTGACAACACTTCACAACAACAACATGGTATCTTCAGGGATATCTTCAAGGTATTCTCAAGGAGACCTGGCAACTTAGTGGAGTATGCACTGGGCTGCGAATCAACATGTCAGCAATTCAAATCCACCAGCCCCTCTGTGGGAGAAAGACGAAGCTTTCTGCTCCAGAATGAGAGGACATAAGCATATAAAAATCATCTCATGTTCTGCATTCCCATATGCTCTGTGCTTTCTTACAAGGGACCAACTTCCTGGAGAACAGGAACTCTGGTATGGAAATGGATGAGTGGCCTCGTACCCTTCAGACACTGATTGGCCCATGACGGATTCATTTTTTGCATCCACTAATGTCTTATGTAAAACAGACACTGGGGAAATGTTTAGAAAGAAAATGAATTGACTGGTCAGGGCTTTTGGGTTCCACTTAACAAGTCACTCTAATTGCAACCAATCATGACCTTCAGGAAAGAAGGCTACAACGTTACCAACATATTGTGCAAAGGGCCGAAACATAGACTTTGTTTAAAGTAGTGTGTTCTTAGAGCACTAAGATGGATTAGATTTTACATATTAAAAATCTTCACTCATAATTAACTTGAAAGTAAGGCTAACTATTAAGCTTAAGTTCATGACTTAGTTTCAGCTGACGACCAACTCAAATTGAAGTAGGAGATGTGAACCAGCCCTACACTGGACCAATGTAGGGGGCAAGGTAACATGCATCATGAGTGAGCCGCCAGGTTGACGGTCAGCCTGCCACATGGAAGACAGGCCCCATGCTAGGTGCTATCTCTCATTCTCCCAACAATCCAAAAAGCAGAAACGGTTCCCAGAGTGGCTAAGTGATTAGTCCAAAGCCACGCCGTAAATGGATGAGCCAGGATTCAAAGGCTGGTACATGCAAGCTCCAATGCCAGTGCTCTGGCCATGATGCCTCACTGCTCTCTCCAACGTTACAAGGATAAGCCCATCTCATAACCCCCACGCTACAGGTAATCCAGGCAACCCATAAATCCAGGAGTTGAAGATTCAATCATCAAAATGCAACACCAGTCGTTGGCCATTCTTGTAACTAAGCAATCACCAAAATATTGAGCAACTCATCTAAGTTGTTTTTTCATCAAGCATTAGAATTTAACTCCCAGGAGGAAAGAAACATCATTCTGAGATTGTTTTTTTAGTATCAAGTGCATTTGTTTCCAAAATAAATAGCACAGACACTGCACAGTGTGGGAAAGAGTAATTCTCTCCATGGTGGCAGCTTTCCCTGCTGACCACACCCCTGGTGCTAAGTGTCAGACGGCGGCAGCACAGTGCAGAGTGGGGCTTGGGAAACATGCGTCTGCTCTCGACACTGACATGCTCTAAGGATTTCCTTCCCATGAGGAGCAGAATTTTCCTCTCCACCAGCCAGCAAGCACACACTCTAACCCATGGCTGAGAAGAATATTTTATATTAAAACCTTTGCCCCCAAAGGGTGAAGTCACAGCTACAAAAGGAATGGCAAAAGTGTAGCAGAGTCACAAATAGTATAATAATGCATAATCAGAAGGGTAAAATGCACACGATTAAGATGTGGGCATACCTGAATATTCTGCCTCTGATTTACACACGCAAACAACAAAGAAGGGGCCGCGGTCAAGTACAAGTACTTCAATCTAGCCGACTGTCCCTCTAGGATAAAATTAAAACTCTGACACTTTACCACACAACTTTCATTCCACCTCTAGAGATATTCTCACTCTTGTCAAAAATGAACGCGGCAAAGTAGAGTCAGGCAGGACTTGTGAATTATAAAAGCCACAGGGAAAACAAAACAAATACTTTTTCCATCTGAAAAGTTAATTCATCAAGATTAAAATGTAATGATCTCAATTCTCTCACTTCCATATTCTTCCCACTATTAACAACAAACAATGCACTCAATTTCAAAGAACTTTCCCAGAAAAAAATGAAACCTTACTGTTTTGTCATGATGGAAAAGAAGCCCAGACTGCAAAAGTGAGAACCCCAAATCCAAGAATATGTTTAAATATTTGTGGTTCTGATACTTCCATCTCTTACAGTAACTAATACAAGTCTTCTAGCACTACTGCTGGAGAAACTGATACACTGATCAAGCAATGCTTATCAATTGTTTACAAGTAAAAGGTACTTATGCTGAAAGTTCTCTACCATTCTAACTTTTCCTCCTTGGGCCCTGTTGGCGCTATGAATTAGTTAACTCTGATCTATGAACAAACAAGGCATTGGCTCCTCAGTTTCTCCTCTGGCCCAGCAATCAAAAGTTCCATGTCATCTAGCCTGCAAGGGAAGGAATGAAGCCTTTGGGAATTTCTGCAAAAGGGCAAATAATTACTTGGATAAAATAAAGCTACCCTCAGAGAAAAATAGAAAACACGCTTCCTCCTACCTCTTTGGATTCCTTTATGTAACAAGCTCCAGCCATTCTTGTCCACCATGTCCACATCAGCTTTGTGACTAACCAGAGTGCTGGCTATACTCTCTAGTCGCCGAGACAGGGCGAGATCTAAGGCAAGCTCGCCATTAGGATCCACTTCATTCAATTTCCCAGGGAGCTGCATAGATAAGTTTGTCAATTAGAACCCAGCTAACAGAAAACACAACCAATTTTACCCTATCTCACCTGGAACCTTACAAATGCCAAATTATAGTGCTACAGCGCTGCTTACGCTAGAAATTCAAATGAAATCACAGATTTCTAGCAGGCCTCCTACGGGCACATGCCCTTTAGGGAACACAAAATTAATGAGGCTCACAGAACAGACATAAATAAACATGAAAGAAAATGTCCAGACCCAGGGGGAAAGGGAGGCATAAGGGCCAGGGCAGAGGTCCACAGACCTTCTCCTAAAAGCTCATTCCTCCCACTTTGGACACCAGCATCAAACAAACTCCACTCCCATCTGTCTTAAGACTGTGTGGTAAAACCAAGAGGGAAAGAATCTTCACAGCAAGGATCACTCCCATCCCCTCTGTACACAGGGTTGATAGGGGTCGGCAGCTTTGACACTGGCTACCTAAAATACAGGGGCTGTAAAGGCACAAAGTGATTGGCTTATAAATTTTCAAGAGGAAGTTTAGTTTCAGAGGGTGTGGAGGAAAGTAGAATCTCCATTGAGTGATTTTCAACCTGTCTAGACAAGGGCTAGTGAAAGCAAATGGGGATAAGACTCTTGTGGCTCAATAGTGAGTAATTGTTATCATGACTTATTGCAATTGTTGCAATTGTAAAGGAGACATTTTGTAGCAAAAAGGGGTGAGTGGTTGATCTTTCAGTCCACGAGTGGAGGACCCTGGGACCATCAAGGGAGAAGGGTGGGAGCAAAGTGGGGGACCCTATTCAGAGAAGCAGCAATACCAGAGATGGAGGCAGAGATGATGACGTGGAGAGAGGGAGCGGCTGGGGGCTCTAACTCACGCAGGGAGAGGGGCTGTGTGCTCGCAGCCAGGGGACAGGTTTGCAGGGTGTGCCCTTTGGCTGTTTGAATGATTGTAGATTCCTGAGTGTTTTGGTGTACATTCAATTTTAAAAAAAGCAAATATAAAAATAGAAGGAATAGAAGCAAATACTGTTGAATGAAAATGCAGGGAGGGGATTGTAATCATTGCAATGAAATGAAATATGATAGGATGATGAGTGTACAGCTGATGCTCTCCCATGTAAACTATCACTCAATTCACAATAAATACTTGGGGGAGGGGGTTAAAAAATTTTTTTAAAAAAAACAACTCTGTGGTAAGCAGAATAATGGCCACCCTCACCCCCTGCAAAAGATGGCCATGTTCCAATGTCCACAGCAATGAATCTGTTACCTGACACGCTAAAGAGACCTGGCAAATGTAATTAAGATGAAGGACCTGAGATGGAGAGATTACTGCAGACCATCCAACCTAGGTGGATCTGACCTAATAACACGGGTCCTTAAGAGAGAGACAGACAGGTGTGACAGAAGAGTGTGACCTGTACTCTGTCTTTACACACAGAGAAAGGGGGCCACAGGGCAACATATGAGGTGGCCTCTAAAAGCCAGTACAGCCCCCAGTTTACAGCCTTGGTCTTTAAACCACAGGAACTGAATTTGGCCAACAACCACTCAAATCAGCAGGAACCAGGTTCTTCCGTGGAAAGGAACCCAGCAAGCTGACATCTTGATTCTGGTTCAGTGAGACCCACACTGGATTTCTGGCCACAGACTGTGAGAAGATCTATTTTGTGTTGCCTCACACCTTAAGATAGTGGTTGTTTGTTCTGCACCACAGAAAACGAGTTGTGATTTGGGACCTGGCAGTGGACACTGCTACAGTGGCTTTGGAACTGGATGATGGGTGGAGGCTGGAAGAATTTTGAGAAACGTGACAGAAAAGTCCAGACTGCCTGGAACGGAGAATAGTGGGGCTACGGCTATTAGGAGAGATATGTGTTGCAAATCCTAAGCCCTGTACCATAGCTATGCCAGTGAGGGCTCAGAAGGAAGTGAGAATCATTAAAGAGAGAAAACCAAGCAAAGGACAGTTAGGGGGAGGGGTGGAAACCACAGCTTACAGTACCTGTGAATCCATTTCAATTAGATAGAGGAAGACAACATCATCTCTCTCCACTTTGATGGCTTTGTGCAACGGGTACTCAGTCTTAGATTTGATCATTTTGTATAACAACTGAGCACTCATGCTGCTGAAGTCCTCCTTCCTTAAGTCGTCCTAAGGATTAAGGAGAAAACCAGAAAGGAGGGAAAAGTCAAACACATTTAACTCATCAACAGTAAGCATCAGAAGACAGCTGTGTCGGACCTGTCAGGGCTTTACACTGCCCAACCCATTCCCTCAGCACAGAACTCTATGAGGAAAGCACTAATATCATTCCCATTTTACAGAAGACGAAAGCCGAGTTTAATACAGGAGAAGTAACTTGCTTAAGTTCCCAGACTGAGTAAATGCTAAATCAAGAGGTCCACCTTAGAGTATTTACCTTTGTTGCAAATACAACTATGAATGTGTGGAGCATACAGTGGGCAAAATGATGAAAACGTCTTAGATATCATCAAACACCTTAAGGCAATGAGTTGCTGGGCCTGAGGGCTCAGGACCATAGTCTCAGGGGTCACCATGGTCAGCTGGCAAAATACAGTCCACAAAGACAGTGTTCTACGTCCTACTTTGGTGAGGAGCAGCGACTGGGATCTTTTTGAAAGCTCATGAGTAGCCTAGATCTAAGGTGCAGCTATTAGTCTCCCCACGTGCGGAAGAAAGCAGAGGGATGAGAAGTACAGGTGCTTCAAACAATTAGTCCAACAGACTAACAGAACATGTGTCCATGACACTGAGACCAGAAGAATCAGGTGGTGCCCAACTACCACTGTCAACGGCTCCAAAAGGGACATTAGAAGGTCCTAGATAGAATGGGAGAAAATGCGGAACAACACTCAAATGATAAAAATACGATTGGGATTACTGGTCAGAAACAGACTGGAGGAACCTAAGACTATGGCCACCCTTCAGATCTGGAAAGGACGTCACCCTTGAGGCCCAATTCTAGCCAAGCAGTAGAAAGACATCGAGGGAGGACAGTAACACGAGTAAGGTATGTTCACCATGAACTATTCAATCATTCAAGATCAAAAGGGCAACATTTATCTAAGGACAAAGTTAACAGCGGATGGGAAGGAGGTTGGAATGGAAATAAGACAACAGGGAGGAAGTGGGATCTAACTATTGCTACAAGGAGGGGACTGCAATTACTGAGATGAAACAAAGTGTATGATTTATTGAATACAAAACTGATGATCTCTATAAACTTTCACACAATCCACAATAAAAAGTTTCAAAATCAAACAAACAAACAAAAAAGGTCCACCTCAGAGCCTGTACTGCTCAGCACAGTATCCCTCAGCCTCGCACCAAGATGGCTGAAGCCAATCAGAAGTGAGCTGTGGTGAGAACCCTTCCTTTGAGACCATGGTCCTTTCTCCCCACCCATAAAGATGGTGATTCCAAAGCAACTACAAGTATCACAATCCGCTTCAATGAATCACAGATGGTCTCTAGTACAACAGCCTTCTACATTTCCATCTATTTTGGCAAAAAGGTTACTCATTCCTGTTTCAATTCTTTAAAATTTGTTTCTTTCAGATACCTTTTCTGAAATACTAAGACACTTCTCACAATGTTGCTGAACACCAAACAATTCTTCAAAACTAGTTTACAAAACATACCACTAGCAAAACAGCACTTGCAAAACCAGTAACATAACCAACAACTGCAAAATTATTCTTTATGATGAAAATTAAGAAAGGCAATTCTAAAATTTTAATAATGGTCTCTCTAGGCAATGGAGGAAGCAAGTATAAAAGTTCTGGAACAGTGCTGCAGAGCACCTCAGAACCTGTGGCTCCCCAGCAGTAAGCAACTCCCATGGCTTCACTGCAGCTGCTGCAGATGGAGAGAAGGCAGACGCCCTTCATACCAGCCCTGCTTCTTGCCTTGAGCAGTCTTCTCCCCTCTAGCCTGAAATCACAGAACTACATATGTTTTAGAGCAGAAAAAAATCTCACAGATCACCGAATTCAACCATTTCACCTTCAATTTTTTAACAAGATGAGACTATGTCTCAGAGGTAACTTTCCACAGAACCAGCCCCAAGCCCAGGACTTCTGACTCCAATTCACCTCCATGTCTCACTCACCCAATGACTTGCAATAATCTCTGCACAGTAGTTCATCAATGTGTTGGCATTCAGCTCCTCCGCAGTCTGATAGAAGCGAATACAGTTCCTGACATTCACCAGAGACATAACGCCCTTCTCACATCTATAATAGAATATTAATGACAAACATTATTATTGAGAAAATATATTCATAAATGAACAAATCAAAACCGTTATCTGTGTACTGCCTGGCTATATCCAGTAACACTAAGGTGCAAGGTTCAGCCAAACAGTTAAGAGTAAGTGATAGTTGGGCACTCATATCTTAAAAGTACTAGAATTTCATTATGATAATTATGTTGCTCAAGTGTGGTCAGAATAAAAATAATAAGAAAATAAGCTTAATAAGTCTGCCATCCTAGCTGTCTTAAAAGGAATCACATGATTCTTGCTGATCTCATAAGGAGGAAACTGCAAAATAGCATACGATCAAATGCAGCCCTTTGATATTTAATTGTATGGAACATGTGAAGTTCCAACTAGTACAACTCTGTGATGTTGTCAACATGGCTTAGATACAGCCTCAGGAAATTCACACCTCCCTGAAAGTCAAAAGACAAAGACAACTGCATGGTATGTAATCTACATCTTAATAAAGCTATTTTTTTTTTAAATCCACCCAAAAGAGCTATACTATACAAAAGCAATGGCTTGAAAGTCAAGCTACAGTACCCCAAAACAGAGAAAATTTTTGGCTATAATGCATATTTCCACAAGGTCTGGTAACAAAAACAATAGCAGTAACAAAATGCCTCTTTTACAATCAGCAATTTTAAACACCAACCCTGCCGTGGAATAGAGATCTGCTGCACACAAGCAAGCAGGCCTCAGGCAGCACAAAGCAGGCACTGCACTAGAGCCTAGAAGACATGGGGCTGGAAAGACCCAGGCGGCTGCGATCCTGGAGTCCAGAACCCATTCTGGGCCTCCTATGGAAAGAGGCCTGTGGAGGAAAGGCAGCCATGAAATGGCCCTTTATGGGCAGCATACACACCTAAAACGGTTTCAGGGGCCTTCTCTAAAACCCCATTGCTGCTCGCCTATCTCACAGGGCCAACAAACCCTGTGCTGTTCACAAGGGCAAACTGTAGGAGAGAGAGCATAAATGACCAGCAAGACAAAGCCCTGAGCTACGGTCCACCGATTTGGAGGTCACATGACTTGACATCTCTGGGCCCATCTCCTAGCCTGTGAAGGAAGATGACGCTCATCTCAGAGGTCTAGAGGATCTGTGCGTGCTTTGCAAGAAAAAGGAAAACTGGAGAACAAACAAGATGGCGGATCAGGTGGAAGCGCTGTGAGAATCTCTGTCAGCAACAACACAGAATACCAGACCAAGAAGGATCAGGGGATGGTCCCAGAACTCTGAACCGCACATAAAAGAATTTTTACAAAATTGGAAGACTTACAGCCAGTGGAATTTATAGCAGATGCAAGAAATCCTGTGCTTCCTAATCCAAGGCACTCAGCTGCTCCCTGAGCAGCCATCTTGTCATAACGACCAACAGTGGTATCTTTCTCAGGAAGAAGAGTGAAAAGGGAAGCCCATTTCCTGATCACATCTACCTGGAGGCAATCAGAAAGCATAAAAAAATACCAAAACACACACCATCTAAGTATTAAGGCCATAGCTAACCACTGAATATGTCCAAAATACAGAAACAGATGATCATATGAGCCCATGTCCAGAAATGAGAATAAAATAACTGAGGCAAATGAGCTGGAAGTAGACCTACACTCCATACTGGAAGATGGGCAGGCTTTGGAAATGCCTGAGAAGGAATTCAGGAAAATGATTATAAAATATATCAAAACACTATACAATGGAGTTGAACAAAATAAGGAAGAAGTCAGGAAA